CACATTTTGTAACAGAGTGGCATAAATCAAAGCAATCAAAGACTTGTTTCTGAAGAAATCCAGAAGTAATAGACATTCTTCATGATGACTTCTAAGACCTAGAGGCTTGCATAGTAATATGTGGCAATAGCCCTAACCTTTAAAATCTATAGCCCCCTAGAAGCAGGGGAGCCAGGCAAAGAACAAACTTCTAATTTTACCTACTGGTAAAGGGGAGCAGAAGAGTGCCATCAGGACCAGGAGATGATAGACTATTTGGACGAAGGATTGATTGTTCTGGGAGCTAGGGATATGGCTGCTAACCACAAGCCCAAGTTCCCAGAGAAAGAAGACCACAAACAGAAGCTCGCCTTCCCCTCTGACCCTGCCAGCTCCACTGTGGCCTGTTGGGATGCATCAGGCAGGCTTTCCTAAGACAGGGACTTGAGCCATTAATAGCTTTTGGACCTCAAAACAGAAGTGGTTGTGGGTACTCTGGATTCTTAGGCACTAGATGTGGGAAGTAACTAAGGTTTTTAAGATTTAACTTATAAATTACCATACGACCCACTCCTAAGTATTTTCACCCAGTCCCACTCTTAGGTATTTATTTACGTAAGACGTGAAAATGTAGCCCATACAATGACCTGTATGCAAATATTTATAGCAGCTTTATTCATAACAGCCAAGTTTGGAAAGAAACCAAATGTCCATCAACTAGTGAATGGATAAACAAATTATGGCATATCCATCACATTAACTACTACTCAGTAATGAAAGGATTGAAGTACTGGTACATGTAACAACATGGATGGATTTCAAAAATATTATGTTATGTGAAAGTGGTTGCCAGGGGTTGGAGGTTGGAAGGAGAGGATTGAATATAATGGGGCACAAGAGAATTTCTGGAGTGATAGAAATTATCTACATGGTAGATCATTACACTGGTGGTTACATAACTGTGTATACGCTGGTCAAAAGTCACGAAACTGTACATTTTTAAAAAAGGGTGATTATACCTCAATAAACTTGGCTTTTAAAACACACCCACACACAGAAGAGGGTTCTCAACCTTCCTCCTCATTAAAAAAATGGAAATTTAAACAATGAGATAACTTTAAAAAAAAAAAAAAACTATCCAATGGGCTAAGATCAAACTGTTGGATTACATGTTTCTGTCGAGGATGTGAGGAGTCACTCCCAAGCAAACCTCTGAGGGATATTTGAGCAGTATCTTTTCAAAGGTAAAAATGCACATACCCTTTGACTCAGAAATTCCACTTTTAGGAATTGTTTCTACAGGTAACACATGTGCAGGGAGACATAGTTTTATATTGTTTATCATAGCAAAAATCAGGAATAAACTTTAATTTCTATGAATAAAGGACATTAAATTAACCATGGTGTGTGTGTGTGTGTATGTGTGTGTGTGTGTATATATATAACTGTGTGTTTCCATTGTGTTTTTAGAAAGGTGTATGTATTCATATATGTGCTTGTATGTGCATAGACTGTTAGAGATGGAATACACATGCAAAGAAACTGGTATTAGCAGTTGCCTCTACCATAGCAAAGGCTTACCTTGGAATGTATGTCGATTTGTTTCCTGCAGATTCTTTTTATTTATTTTTTATTTATTTATTTTTTGAGATAGAGTCTCACTTTGTTGCCCAGGCTAGAGTGAGTGCCGTGGCATCAGCCTAGCTCACAGCAACCTCAAACTCCTGGGCTCAAGCAATCCTTCTGTCTCAGCCTCCTGAGTAGCTGGGACTACAGGCATGTGCCACCATGCCCGGCTAATTTTTTTTTTTTTCTATATGTATTAGTTGGCCAATTAATTTCTTTCTATTTATAGTAGAGACGGGGTCTCGCTCTTTCTCAGGCTGGTTTCGAACTCCTGAGCTCGAGCAATCCACCTGCCTCGGCCTCCCAGAGTGCTAGGATTAAAGGCGTGAGCCACCGCGCCCAGCCTGCAGATTCTTTTTAACATGTGCATATATTACCACCTCAGTTAAAGAGAAAAAAACTTAATTTGCACACATTACAATGTGTCATTAGGGTATTTAGGAGTTGGTAGGTAACTTTCCTAATCATTTCCTCCAGAATGTCCTTCATTGCCTTTGTCTGCAACACAGTAGCAGACTAGGTGATTCTTGGGATTGACTGGTGTGACCACCTACCTCTCTAACCACTGCTTCCAGCTGGTGTCTCCTAATTTTCTGAATTCATGTGGCAGTCGATTGAGAAGAAAGAACACTCACTCCACTGTACCCACGTGGGGCCTTTGTGTACATTGGGCTGCTCCCCTGGTTCAGGTCCCTTTCACCAAGCACCACAGTGGCCGAGGGCCTTGGTGGGGAGAAGCGGGCTGCGTTCTGCAGTGCATTGTCACTGCTGTCTCTGCCACATGCCCACACGCCACCAGGAGGCTTCCATAAGTGAGGGGAGCATCAGGAGGGAGGTGTGGAAATTGGCATCGCTGGCTGAAAATGGGGTAGACTGGGAGGCTGCATTCAATTTAGTTTGGATATTAAATGAATTAAAATGGATGTGCTCAAGTTATGAGCCTTGCCTCATCCGTGCTATAAAAAGCCCTTTAGCCGGGCTGTAATTTGACTCTCCTCTCTATAATGTTACGCAATATTCCTATGGTTACAGAGCCTGAATAAGTGGAAGCTAATCATTAGTTTGCTAAATGTGGTTCGTGGAACAGTTCACATCTCCCAGACTTGCCAACTGCTGCTTGTTTAGTTTCATGTTCACTCTTCTTGGGTAGAAGTTGGTTTGTTCCTCAGAAAAATGTACAGTAACGTTTGTCTCACGTCCAGGAAGCATGCAGTGTGGCAGCTCTCCATGTGTCTTGGGATAGGAAGGAAAAAAGGTCATGCTAAGCCGAGTTTTTTGATACATACACTTCTGCAGGGAGTGCAAGATGAAAAGAAAGGAATTAAAGCTGCAGAGGTTTTAGGTATTAGGAAAATCACATTTCAGAAATTTGCTATGATCAAAATCTATGGAATTTACTGTTCTGTGGTCCCAGAAATAAAAATTATGCTCTTTAGATTCTGTCTTACTTTGTTTCATGTGATAAGAAAGATACTGTTATTGCCCAGGGTCACCTGCAAACATCATGCAGGTGCCTTGCCTGTAGGAGTCACACCTTTCATGAGCTGGGACCCTTCCCTGTCACATCTGCCCGTATGTGTCAGGGAACATGCTAAGAGCCCTGGGAACCAGCTGGGTTTGTGCCCTTCTCTAAATCCTGAAGCCATTCGTGAGCATTTGGCCTCTTCCTACTGGGATGAAAGTGGGTTCTTTCCCAGTAAATAGAAAATGCTCTGTGTCCACCTGTGACTCTTTCTCCTTTTCCAGCTGAATGGCTGTTCCTCTTTCTTAGTTAATGTCCCAGAATTCCTCTTGGAGGCAGTCCAGTGGCCGTCTCTCTTTACCTAGTGTATCATTTAGATCTCTTTGCATTGTAAAAAAAAATAAAAACAACCACCACCACCAGAAAACCTGACCTAACCTGGCTTAAAAGGAGAAAAAAAAAAAAAAAGGAATTTATAGCTCACATGATTGAGAAGGCATGGCCAGATACAAGGGCTCAAGACCTACTTACTATCTCTGTTTCTCTCGTCTCTGGGTTTGTCGAACTTGCTTTCAGGCTCTGGTGGTGGCACCTGGCAGTTACATAACCTCCCAGGTGCAAGCCCAGCAAACAGCAAATGTCTTTTCTCCCATCTCCTGGAAAAGTCCTGAAGTTCACTCTGGTTAGGTTGGCTTAGGTCTTCGACCGTCCCTCGGCTAGTCATCAGGTCTGTGGCGATGATATGCTTTTGACCAGTCCGTCCTCAACCTCATTCCCCACCCCTGGAAGGAGTAGGAAAAGGGAAGCTCTTCAACTGAAGATGAAGCCCTGCACAGAAAGAAAAGGGAATGGGAGGTGGTGGGCAGATAACTAGTCTTCAGCCAGTATGAGGAAACTGGATTCTATACCTGAAACCCACGGAAAGACTCCACTGCCAGTTTGTGTGTGACCTGACCTGCCACACCACGGAAAAGATGGGGTTCTGTTAAGCTATTCACAATCTCCAAGCTCTGCCTGCTATTCTCACCTTCCTCTGTGCTGCTCAGGAAGACTACACGAAAATGATCCCTCCTCTTCTTTTAAATGCATGCTTATGTAAAACAAACACATTTATTTTAAAAGTCCATGCCAGAGGAGATAAAATAAGAAATTATCAGGAGTCAGTATAATTATGGTGGTTCTCCTTATACATCTGAGCTTAAGGGAATTTTTTTTTAAATATAAAAGTAATGGAATTAAAATCATAGTTTAGAAAAATATAAACCCACAATTCCACCACTCTAACTCAACCACTATTTTAATTTTAGAGTATTTCCTTTCAGCCTTTGTTCATATGAGTTTGTCACTAACTTTTGCATCTTTTTTTTAATTTTACTTGACATTACATAATACATGCATTTTCCATGTTGCTTTATAGTAATTGTTGTAAATAGCAACACAGTCCATCATGTAGACATACTGTCATTTGCTTAATCGTTCTTCTATTATCAGACGTTTAGGTTGTCTTCATTTTGTTTTTTTTCTAACGTTGCAAAGAATAGTGTGTGCTGAGCGTTTCTGGGGGCTGTCACTTTTCTCGTGCCTTATCTCATTTCCTGAGATTAGATTGTGAGAAATGGGATTACGGGTTCAGAGGGTATAAACATTTTTAAGACTCTTGATACATACTGCCACATTGCTTCTCAGAACGGTTGCATTTTATCTCTGCTGCCTGCAGCAGCTTATGAGAGGATCAGTTTCACTGCATTCTTGCTAGTAATAGATATTTGGATTTTTAAACATTTTCCTAACATAACAGGCAAAAACTATGTGTCGTTTTTTGTTTTAATTTGCATTTCTTTGGTTACTAGGAAGATTGGATGCTTTTGTGTATGCTTGTTTATTAGGCAGGTTTTATTCTTTGCCTTATGTGTTGTCTTTTTCTTCATTTCAGACCCCAAGACGGCTTCCGAGACAGAAACCGATATCTGTGCTGAATGGGAGATAAAGACCATCACTAGTGCTCTGAAGACCTACCTGAGGTAGGGACTTTCCATTTGCAAGGCAGGGCGCCAGCCTAGCCAGTTATCATGCGATCAGGAAGAAAGCAGTTTTATTTTCAGCCTCCAGAGAGCTGTTGGGTGGGTGTTTGAGATGTGGAAACAGCTTCTGTGTGGGTGCATTTAGCTCAGCTGGTCAAAACGATTGTAAATCATCTGTACTTGACGGGTTGCCATTGTGCAAGGGTGCCGTGAGCGATTTGGGAAACTTTGCTCTTTATGAAAAGCCCTGTGATAATCAGCCTTGCACAGAACCTAAAATGTGGTCTTCCCTGAAATCCCTGAATAATCTGTTAAGAAAGCAAGGAATCCTGTATCTTGTTCTGTTGGGAATGCATGAGTATATGCCCTCTGTATTTTGATAGTTTTCTACATTACAGTATATTGCTAGATATCGTTCCTTAAAAATGAGAACTTAATGCATTTTTTTTTTTTGCTCTTTCCACTTAGATTGGAAAATATCACCTTCCTGTAGAGACTATTTTCTTTGTATTAATATATATGATATTACTGCTACCTCACTACCCATCCCTTGGTCATTCAGGGGGTGGAGGTTATTGCCTAGCTGCCTGAATCTCAGTGTCATAAATAGACTGAAGTTTATGCTGGCCTCAGAGGATAGGAATACTGTAGTTCCTCTTACATGGGAAGGTGGGATCTAGTCTTAAACAGAAAGGAGAACTGTAATCAGGAATTGCATAAGCCCTTGTGCAAGTTTGGTGAAGATGAACTTGGCAGGAAAGCAAAGGAGGAAGGCCACACACACAGAAGGGGAATTGGCAATGCAGGTTTTATTGGCTACTGGGGAATTGAAGTCAAGAGTAAGGTATAGTATAAATGTTGACCAAGAGTTTAATTAATGGATCCACTGAGAATAAAATCTGAGCCAAGAATAATGTACAGTTTGATGAGAAGTTTGTTATTTGAACTATGAGAAAAAACTCAAGTTTATAGTTAAAACATATTCATACCCCAGCAGATAAAAGTTGCTTATATCACACCTAACATTAGGGCTAGAACCTAGCCTTCTAGCCTTTTGGCATTTTGGAGCAACACTCGATACAGAACGCACCATGAAAACACCTACAAAAGTGTCTCACGGTGTTTCTAGATGAACTGATTGTAACAGCAGGCTGCTGGGGAGACGAGAGGTTAAGCACAGGTAACTGCAGACGTGTACTTCGTTGCCTGTTTCTCAGACGCCTCTTAACAGTGTTCTTGTTGATGAGTGAGTCACTGACAGAAAAGGAAATCTCTTGGTTTGTGCTAGACTTTGCATTAGCACTCTATTAGTTGTGACTATGAAACATAATTGTACCCATACCCTTAAAAAAGGGAGAGAATGAAAATTTCAGGTGAAATCTCAGAGCTCTTTCAATAGGGAAACCAAGTTGAGTTGCTGCTGTTTCCCCTGTGATCTTTGTCTTTGAGAAATGTAACGCAGTCTGGCAGGCTCTGGGCTGCTGGTTAGAGAGCATATGATTATTGTATTGTTCAGCCGACTAGCCTGTATTCTTTTATTCCAGAATGCTTCCAGGACCACTCATGATGTACCAATTTCAAAGAAGTTTCATCAAAGCAGCAAGTAAGTCTTTTTTTGTCTCAGTCTTAAGGGGAAGAGAATAGAGCTTGCTATTTCAAAGAACAGTCAGTATCCCAAAATAAACATTACCTAACCCTTCATATTCTGCGTGTAAACTGGCCACATAACGTGTGCGTGAGATGCTGACACAGAAACAAAAGGAAACGAGATGAGGATTGCTAAGGGCCTTGCTACCATGTTGAGTTTATAGCAGAGGAGAGAAACTTCAGAAGTGTTTTCTTCGGGGGTGGGGGGTAAGGGGGGAGGTAGGAGAAAAAAGCAAGTTTGCCTTTTCTAGCTTTGATTATCAGAGTTCTAACTTCCTGGGGTTTTTTTTTTTCCAGCCTTTGAGTAGCATTTTGCAGAATGAATCAGACATTGCACATTACCTAAATTGAGCATTGGAAATGTTTTCCCTGAATACGACACCATTTATATAACTTCACAGTCCTCTTTCCATCATGTCTTCCACTTACAGCTTCTGATCATTCTTCAACCATATCGCCCCGGTCCGTGGCGTCACATTACTGGTATTAAAATACATAGGGATTAGGTGCAAGCTACCCTGAGCATCCTGGAATCTGTCTACGTGGGGCAGTCCTCCTGTAAGGGGGCAGAAAGGTTCTCTCTCAGATTTAAATCTGGCACGAATGCTCACAGTATTATCATGTCGATGGCTTGTGCCTCTCCCTGGTTCCTCTCAGCCTTTAGAGTTTGTTTACCCTGGTAGCTACTACTGGCCTAATTTACTAGTACCTAATGTTCTGGTGGCCTTACCTACTTATAGTTGTCCCTTAAATCAGGGAGGAGAAAGACGTGAGGGAGAGCTAGGAATGAAGATGGTGTTTATGTGATTTTTTTTTTTTTCTCGGAGAAATTGCAAACCCATAGCAACCATTCTCTAATTAAACCTCAACATCAGTCCTATAAATAGGTGTGATGAGTACCATCAATCTATTTGCCAGAGAAACAAAGCCACTTACCCAAGTTCACCCAAGAGAAGCCATGACAAGCCATGATTTAGGTTATAGGTTGGCAGAAAGATTTAAATATTCTGTCTGCCATTGCTTGCTTTCTGCCAGGCTGGTTGTCATGCATGGTTTGAGAATAAAGGACATTTCCTCTGATTTCCATTATGCCGTCTCGGGCTGCTGTTTTGATACTTGAGACCCCTGCAATGTCGTTCACGTAAGATTTGTTTATCACTTGACAAGTGCATGAAGTTCCTTCCTTCCTTGAAATGCAGTTGTCCCTCGAGGGAGCCAGCTGCTCCTGAGCTCATTCCCGTTCTGGGTGTGCAGTTGATTGGCTCCACTTCATCACGACATCATCTTGGCTTGCAATTTTTGATGCTAATTTTTATGGTGAACCCTGTTCCAGAAAGCGCCACAAAAAGGAATTCTAGATCTAGTCATGCCAGTCAGACAGTATGCACGCAATACAGGATCGTAAATCTTGGAGAAATGCTTGGTCTGTTAGTGCCTCCTCTTTGGTTTCTCTTGATTTCTTCCATCTTGTAAAGCCGTTTAGCTGTGACACTGATAAAATATCGCCTCCCTCCTTCCTTCGCAGAGCTAGAGAACCAGGAATCTCGGATCTCTGAAATCCACAGCCTTGTTCATCGGCTCCCAGAGAAAAATCGGCAGATGTTACAGCTGCTCATGAACCACTTGGCAAAGTAGGTTTAAGACCAATCGCTGGCCATTTTCTCACCCCTGAACGTTCTTATCTTAGCAAGAAAGCTGGTCCCAGTTCTGCCTACGTTTCCCTCTCCCGCTATTGCATCGGTACGCTGGAGGCTTAGGAAAGAAATGTGTGAAATGTTAACTGCAGTGGACAATGGCAGCGGTGCCAAATGGCCTTCGCACAGGAGGCTGGGGGAGTGCCCGTGTGAGCAGGTCACCATGCGGAGTTTGTAGGGGTTATATGTTCTCATGATGATAAAGGCCAAACAAAGAGTATGTTGTGAGTTTATAAAACGTGGCTTTGGAGTGAGGAGGCCTGGACTCTAGAGCCGACTCTGTTCTTAGCAAGCCACTTAGCCAGCTCTGGACAAGCCACTGAACCGTCTGTTTCTCGGTTTCTTCATCTATCCTATGTTGGATAATAGACCCTCACTTTATCTACAAGGTCATTGATTTTAAAGGTTGCATGCATTAAAGCCCTTGGAGAAGTGTAAAGAAGAAAGGAATTTTTTTGGCAAATCTTCATTTGCTGTCTGAGATAATCAGAGCATGCAGTAGGGGTCTGATTTTCCTGCTAGGAGTATTTGCACTCTTGGGATGGCTTTTGATTTTTTGTGTATTTACTGTTGCTTGACCCTCTTGAGGGGCTTTGCTGACTTCCCTTGCTGTTTCAGTCGCTGCCTGTGTGTATGTTCTGACCTTCCACTGACTTTGATGGTATGTTCTTGATTGCACACTGGAGCACAAGAAAGGAATGAGAGTATAACAGTGAATGCAAATCATTAAGCCCATCAATTCAACTGAACTGAGGTGCTGCAAATGAGCTCTTCCCCACACTGTGCTCATGCCATTAAGTTTAATTTCTTTGGGATAAGTTGATATTCTTCTGAAGGAGATTGTGATGGTTGGTTTTCACATTTCTGTCAAGCACTGGGTATTACCTTTGGGGAAGAGAATGTTTATATACCATAAAGATTTCCACAATTTCCCCATTTCCATGAAGAGACAGGAGTGTTGTGTGTGTTGGTGGGAAGCAATTGGGTAGAGCCACGGTTGCTCCATTATTGATCAATTTTTTTTTTTCTTGCCTGGTTGTATCAGAACTGCATGTTGAGGAATAATTAAGAAACATGGCAGAGAACATACAAGTTTACAGAGGAAGAATGCACCCCAAATGTCAAGCAATCCTGATGAAGTGTGTTTAAAATAGTGGGAACTGGGTTTTACAAAGTAACTCCAGATGCTCTGAGATGACAGTTCTTTGCCTGTTCCACACAACCCAGAGTGAGACGTTTGTTAAACAGAAAAGCTGGTTTGGATGTTAGTTGCAAAACTTTGCATGCTTAAAGGGCAAGCCCCCAAACGGGGGAAGTTCCGGGTACACACTCCAGCCAAGTTTGTAGGATGCTCGTGACTTGGTTTATGGCCACTGGATCTTCAGGACGCCTTCAGGCCTGTTGGGAGCAGCTAGAGAAGAAGAGTTAGGAACCAACTGAACGCAGAGGGTCTTCTCAAGCTGTGCAGTTGGAAGGAGAGCTTAATTGGAAGAAGAGGCCAAGAGCAAGTGGTGATTCAGAGAACCAGTATTACATTTTTTCCATTTTCAAATTGCCCTGAGGATTGTTAGGGCTCTTCAAAGAAGAAGAAAAAAAGATTTAAAAAAACAAATAAAAAAAACCCGATTGAGGTAGATTTTGAATAGTTGAGCCTGGTGGATGGCTCGCTTTCTGCTTCTTTTCCTCCCCTTTCCTCCCCTAATCCCATTATGTTCAGTCCATCCTTGTTCCTAATCTAAGGAGTAGTACAGCTGAAATTATGCAGGTTACAGCTATGACCTTGACTTTCTGCCTTCTAACTAATGCAAACCAATTTTATTGCTGGAGTTATTTATTTCATAGCGTTTCCGGAGCGTTATGTCTTGTCTTTGAAACTTGAGAATGATTTTCTTTGGTTTTATGGCATTTCTTTATTCATTTGATCGTGAAGAAGTTTACGTATAGACAAGTGCACGCACCATAATGGGAGTTGGTCAGAGTTTATGTGAGAATACACATACTCAAGTTCTAAGCATGCTGTATTCTTGATCTCCCAAGTCTCTAGATGAAAATATCCTTGCGATATCTATAAATGAGCACTGTTGAATCCTGTAAAGAGTGTTTATTTAGGTCTGAAAAAATTCTTTGGCACCCAGAGGAGTTCTAAGATTCCACTTAAACTCTATTCTCACTTACAGCACTGTCCTTATTTTAAAATCAAGCAGTAAGGGAAAGTTAACTTGGGACAAGAGGTTTGTCTAATTCCAGTTTTCTCAGGTTTAGACTTACCCTAGGATATGCCTGAGCTATTGTTCCTCTGGGCCACTTACTTAATGGTTAACTTCCTTCCTAAGTTTTGGTTTCAGGTCTGATTCTGCTGGAAAACCCAGTGTTTACTTCTCTCATTACCTGCTGTTTGCCTTATGCATCTCAGGATTCTGGTTCAAAGGCAAGACATTTTGTATTGTGTATTTTTTAAAGTACTCGTTTCAAACATTTTGCAAAATTGATTTCCTTTAGCTCTGATGAGAGAGTTAGGGCTTTTTATATTAAATCCCAAGTAAAAATGCATTCAGAGGGGGGAAAAAAAAGTCTTGGAGGGAAAGGACAAAAACTCCAAACCTCTAAAGCAAATGATTACCAGGGTACATCCAAATCACAGAGATGTTGGGTTTCTTCCAGACCTCAGAGGGAACATAAAAATTATAGGAAACCATGCACATATTTTTGTAGTTCCAGCTTAAATCTACTATGATAATTAGATGTTTTCTATTTGGATCTTGGAATCCAGTATATGGTCCGGAGTCACATGCCTCAAAGCATGGTTAGAATCACCTGTGGTGCTTGTTTACATTGACATTTCTGGGCCCCACTGTGGGCCCACTAAGTCAGGCTCTCAGCCTGGGAATCTGCATTTCTGATTTATTTCCCGGGTAATTACTGTGTAAACCGTCTTTTGAGAACCACTGGCTTAGAGAATGGGTCATATGCAAGGATTTTCTAAGAGAGAGAAGTATTGAGAGGAATGTGAATTGGGATCTAGGGGAGAGTATTAGAAACAGAAGAAGCTCAGAGCAGTGAGTTCAAACAGGAGATTTTATTGTCATGATTAAATTAGTAAAAAAAAAAAAAAAAAAGAGGCCGGGCGCGGTGGCTCACGCTTGTAATCCTAGCACTCTGGGAGGCCGAGGCAGGCGGATTGCTCAAGGTCAGGAGTTCAAAACTAGCCTGAGCGAGACCCCGTCTCTACTATAAAAATAGAAAGAAATTAATTGGCCAACTAATATATATATATATGAAATTAGCCGGGCATGGTGGCTCGTGCCTGTAGTCCCAGCTACTCGGGAGGCTGAGGCAGGAGGATTGCCTGAGCCCAGGAGATTGAGGTTGCTGTGAGCTAGGCTGACGCCACGGCACTCACTCTAGCCTAGGCAAGAAAGCAAGACTCTGTCTCAAAAAAAAAAAAAAGAAAAAAAAAAGAAAGAAAGAAAGAAAAAAGCCAGTTTTGATTTCCCAAGTCTTTACAGTTTGCCTTTGCATTAAATTTAGTTTTCAACAGATGAAATCATGTTTAAGGCATTTTTTAGTTATGAAGAAAATCATGCCCAGCTAGCTGTGGATCCTTGTGCAAATTATTGTACCTTTTTGAGCCTCAGTTTCTGAGTTCTCCTCCAGTCACGGGATTCTGTGTTTTCATGGGTCGGGGCAAGGAAAAAAAAAATCCCAATCTGATAATTGTCAAAGGAAAAGAGTAGATGAGTAATAAAGACTAATTTCATGGTAGTTTCATAATGTTTACATATTATGATGACTCCAAGTATGCTGTATATCCCCACACATACCATTCGTGGTGGCTCATCGCAACTTTATTACAGTGTTTATGCTGAGAGGGAAAATTTCAAAGGACTCTCCATACATCAGGAGTGGCTATTAAAAATACCTTTTCACAGCTGGTTTTCCCAAAATGCTTATTGAGACATAAATCTTAGTCTCTTTCCTCTTTTGGAACAGCTATTCCTTTGTTGCAAGGGTGTTGCTGGCGAGGTCTTGCATCTCCAAAGAGGTGTTGCATCACTTAGGATGCTTTGGGCTGCAAGAAACAGGAAATCCAGTTGAAAATGGCTTGAACAATTAGGGGATCCGTTGTGTCATTATACAAAAATCAGTCCAGAAAGTTGGTTAATTTCTTGGCCCACGAAGGGCTCAGGCTATTTCCGTGTTCCTGCTCCACCAGCCTCAGATTGTTGCTCGCTCCTCTCTCTCAGGGTCATCAGCTGTCACACTGTGTCTTCCCATGTGCTCCCCCAAAGGCAGAAAAGGCATTCTTTTTTCTTTGAAGTCTCCTGCTAAGAAGTCTGATGACACTTTCCCCAGACATCTCTAGTACACCTTGTGTCACATCTCACTGGTCCAGAGCAAGGGGAAGGGTGCCACCGTAATTATTTTATGCCAGACGAGATTTATCTGCTCCACTTGTGGGAGGGCTTGGATGTCAGAATAAAAGTAGAGTTTTGAGTAGGCGGCCCACAGTGTCTACTTCAAGGAGTCTTGCTTGGTAAATAACATTCACTCGAGAGCGTTCGGTCTATTGAACGATCTTTGCATGATGTGCTAACTCAGCCAAGACTTAGGGGACAAAAAGGCCAATTTGGGAGGAGAGATGAGGACATATGTGGTATGGGCACCTGTGCACTAAATTATAAGATGTCAGGGAGTGGAAGGTTAAGAGAGAGTAAGGAAGAGGACAAGATTGGCTGTAGTCCCATTGCCTCTTGCTGATTCCTTATTGTTCTTTTCATTACCCAGTTGTCTATAATGCTTCTTTTGATCTTCTGTTTCACGTTGTGACTTTCCAAAATGGACACAATTCTGTAGATTGCAGGGATCATGCACGAAGGAATATTGTGGGGCAAATGCTTGGCACACAAGTGAGACCTTATCAAACTATGTAGGTGCCA